AATGCAGTTCCACCTTAAATTCAGTGCAATTCCTCTTTACCTTCAATGCAATGCCACATTATATTCCATGCCACCCTGAATTCACTGACAACTTGATTGCTACCTTGAATGTACTTCCACCTTAAATTCAGTGCTACCTTGAATTCAGTGTTACTTTAGATGTAGCTTCATCATAGTTTCACTGCCACCCTAAAAGTACTGATATCTTAAATTCGCTGCCACCTAAAATTCAAAGCTTTCTTGATTTCACTGCCACCTTAAATTCAGTGTTACCTTAAATCTACCACCACCTTGAATTCACTGCCATCTGAAAATTACTGACTCATTAAATTCACTGCTACATCAAATTGAGTGCTACCTTAAATGTACTACCACCTTAAATTCAGTGCTACCTTAAATGTAATTCCACCTTAAATTCAGTGCTACCTTAAATGTAATTCCACCTTAAATTCAGTGGGACCTTAAATCAGTTCCACCTTAAATGCAGTTTTACCTTAAATTCACTGCCACCTTAAATTCAGTACTACCTTTAATTTACCGCTCTTGCATAGTTTAATGTGGCAGTGCATTTAAGGCAGCAGTAAATTTAAGATGGCACTGAATTTGAGATGGAATTGCATGTAAGGTTGCACTGAAAATAGAGGTGAAAGTGCATTTAAGGTAGCAAGGATTTTAAAGCAACCTTAAGTGACGTCATACCTTAAATGCAGTGCCACTTTAAAATCAGTGCTACCTTAAATTTACAGCCATTGCACTGAATTTAAGGTGGCACAGCATTTAAGGTGACAGTAAATCTAACATGTTAGTACATTTAAGGTGTCACTGCATTTTAGGGGGAACTGCATTGAAGCTGGCACTAAAAATAGAGATAAAAATGCATTTAAGTTATAACTGAATTTAAGATGTACTTAAGTGCAATTTCATCCTAAATTTAGTGCCTTCTAAAATGCAGTGCCACTTTAAATTCCCTGCCACCTGAGATGTATTGCTAACTTAATTGCAGTTCCACATTAAATTCAGTGCCATCATAAATGCAGTGCTACCTTAAATTAACTGCCGTATTAAATATATGAATAGGATTAAATCAGTGCTACCTTAAAAGCAGTTGTTCCACCTTAAATTCACTGCCACCTTAAAGTTTCTGATGTATACCATTCCCTGCCGCCTTAAATCCAGGGCCCTCCTAAATTTCGTGCCACTATGACTCTAATGCCACCTTAATTAAGTGCCATTTTAAATTTACCCCACTTTAAATTTAGTGCAAACTTAAATCTTCCACCACTTAAAATGAATGATATCTGAAATCTACTGCCACATTAAATCTGCTTTTTTTAAATTTAGTACCATAAGTTTATTGCAACTTTAAATATAATGACATCTTGAATGGAGTGCCTTTTTAAATTCATTGCTACATTAAAAGCAGTTCCACCTTAAATTCAGACATCTTAAATTCAGTGCCAACTTAAATTCACTGCCACCTTAAATGCAATACCACCTTACATTCAGTGCTACCTTAAATCACCTGCCAAATTGATTGCAATGTTAAATGTACTGCCACTATAAATTCACTGCTATCTTAAATGCAATTCGATCTCTATATTTAGTGCTACTGCATTTCACGCTAAACACACTACCACCTTAAATGTACTGACATAATAAATTTACTGCCATCTAAAATTCAGTGCTACCTGAAACTCACTGCCACATCATATACACTGCCATCTTAAAAGTTCTGCCACCTTAATTGCAGTTCCACTTTAAATGAAGTGCTACTTTGAATGCAATTCTATGTTAGATTCTGTAGCCATTGAGTACTGTGATACCATAAATGCAATTCCACTTTAAGTTCAGTGTGACCTTAAATTCGTTGCCAGCTTAAATGCAACCTTTGTCTTTGACCTTAAATCCAGTGGCTCCATAAATACAGTGCAATATTAAATTCACTGCCACCTTAAATTTGGTAATGCCTTAAATCCACTGTCACCTTAAATTCAGTGCTACCTTAAATTCAGCTCCACATGAAATGCAGTGCCACCTTAAATTCTCTGCCACTATAGAGCTGGTGTCACTTTAAATTCAGTGCTAATTTAAATGCAGGTCTTATTCAATTGCCAGCTTCAATATGGTGATATCTTAAATTCACTACCACCTTAAATTCAGTAACACCTTAAATAACATGACTCCTTAAATTCACGGCCAGCTTAAATTTGCTGATAACTTATATACATTGCCCACTTAAATTCAGTACTACCTTAAATTTACTGGCACCTTAATTTTACTGCCACCTGAAAGTGTTGGCCACCTTAAAGTCTGTGTTACCTTAAAAATTGATTGCCACCCTTAATTCAGTGCTACCTTAAATGTAGTTCCACATTAAATTGAGTTCTATTTTAAATTTACTGTCACCTTAAATTTACTGCAACCTTAAAACTGCTTCCACCTTAAATTGATTACCACCCTAAATTCAGTGCAAACTTAAATGTAGTTCCACCTTAAATTCGGTTCTATTTTGATTTTACTGCCACTTTAAATTTACTGCCACCTTAAATCTACTGCTGGCTTAAATTTAATTATGCTGTAAATAAAATTCCACCTTAAATTCACTGCCAACTTAAAATCAGTGCTACCTTAAATTTGCCACCATGAAATCAGTGCTACCTTAAACCTACTGCCACCTTAAATGTACTTCCCCTAAATCCACTGCCACCTTAAAATCACTGCTCCTTTAAATTTACAGCCACCTTACATTTTTTGATATCTTAAATACGCTGACAGCCATGAGACTCTAAATATACTGCCACCTTGTACTCAGTGCTGCCTTAAATCTACTGCCACATTAAATTTACTGCCAGCTTAAATTTACTTAAACCGTAAATTCACTGCCACCTTAAAATCACTGCCATCTCAGATTTACTGATACCTCAAATACAATGCCACTTTCAATTAAGTGCCACCTTAAATTCACTAATATCTTAAATTCACTGATGTCTTAAATACACTGCCACCTTAAATCTGCTGATACCATAAATGCACTGCCACCTTAAATTCACGGGCACTGGCAAATTAACTGATATTTTAAATACATAATCATTGTAAAGTAAATACAAAACTAAATTTGTCACATTGAATTCACTACCACCGTACATTTATTGGTACCTTAAATACACCACCACCTTAAATGGACAGCCATCTTATATTTACAGGGAAGTTAAATTCACTGCCACCTGATGTTTACTAATAACTTAAATACACTACCACTGTAAATTTACTGATGCCATAAATTCATTACCCCAAATTCAGTGCTACCTTAAATGCAACTTTACCCTGAATTCAGTGCCTCCTTAAATATAGTGCCACTTTAAATTCATTACTACCTTAATGTCACTGCCTTGTTACATTCAGGGCTACCTTAAATGCAAATCCATCTTTATATTCAGTGCCACCTTAAAAGATGTTTCACCTTAAATTCAGTGCCACATTCTATTCACTGAAATGTTAAATTTACTACCACCTAAAATTCAATACTACAACCCCATTTCCAAAGAAGTTGGGATGCTGTGCAGAATGTAAATAAAAAGAGGATACAATGATGTGCAAATCATTTAAACCATAACTGTAAAGGAATATACTACAAATGCAACATATCAAATGTTAAAACTCAGAAATTTTATTGTTTGTTGGAAAATATATGCCCATTTTGAATTTGGCACCAACACATTCCAAAAAAGTTGTGACGAGGGTGTGTTTACCACTGTGTTTCATCACCTCTTCTTTTAAGAACACTAAGTGTTTGGGAACTGAGGTGACCAATTTCTGTAGTTTTGAAAGTGATATATTTTCCTGTTCTTGTTTGATATAGGATTTCAGCCATTCAACTGTTCAGGGTATCCATTGTCATATTTTCCATTTCATAATGCACCAAATGCTTTCAGTGGTGACAGATCTCGACTGCAGGTAGGTCAGTTTAGCACTGAAGAATCCAAATCTTCTTGATTCCAAACCAGGGGACTCAATCTGTTGTCTGGACAAGTGAAGTTTATTCGTTGCGCGCACAGGTTCCAGACAGCCAGCCAGCCCGTAAGACCATGGACTGATACGGTTTTATAGCTGGACTGATGCCAAGATTAGACCCAGCTTATACAGGACAAGTAACAGGTGTGACAAACATGACCATATAAGGAGAAAAACAGCCTAAAATACAACTTCAGCACATTCACACACAGCACAGCACATTTCACAACAATAACTTCCTTCATTACCCCCTTAGGACATACTATAAAAGGTATGTTCTCGCAAGCTTAATCAATCTATCCTTTCCTCTTCCAGAGAAATATGGCCAGTTTTTCCCTCTTTCTTCACGTCCTAAAGACGGGTCTCTTTCCCTTCAGTCCACATACAGGCAAATTGGGGAAATGAAGTGGTTCCATGGTTATAAGGAACGCCTACGCTGGTGGAGTTTAGTCAGTAATTTGAGGCAGAAGTAAATAACAATAGCAACTATTACCAGGTGCTACAAAGGAACGTACATAATGGAGCAGTTGCTGTAAGATCCCAGAAAATATACCTCCAAGAATGTTGCCAACCCAGTTAAAGAACTTACCAAGCGATCCCTCCGGAGCAGGATTTGGAATGAGTCTATGAAGGTCTGCTACGTACTAATCAATATTTTCATAGTTATCTGGGACATAGATACAGCAGAAGGTATTAAGAATGTGACATACCCCTCCCTTTTCTAAGGTCAGCAAGTCTAAAATCTTCCTATTCTCCAGCACTACTTCTCGTAACGCACGGAGTTCATCATTTACTAAGCGGAGAGCTTCACTAGTCCCATTAGCTAGTTTCTGTGTGGAATAAGCCAAATAATTTATCTTCTGTAAGGCATCTACAACACCTCCAAATGGAAATATTCCCCACCCTGCTGTCTGCGCTATACTAGGTCCATGGATTGGTATGGACTGTAATAGGAGGCATGACTACAGCCATGTAACAGGAACCGCACCATGAATCAGATGGGAGTGATGGATAAGCCTTGTTTCCACAAACCCAATAGAAACCCAAAGGGAGTGGTTCCCTCATCCAAATACCGCATGGGTTGGTATTTGTGGTGGTAGAATGTTTACACCAAAATGCGCATTCATAGAGAAAGCAGAGATTGAAACGGAACATGTACTGTTACCAAGATAAGTGTCCTCTGGATAAGACGGTTTGTCAATACATACCAAGCCTGAGGAAGCCCTCACAGGAATGGGATCTGCTAATCCATAATTCCAGCTAGATTTATCCCGATAATCACATGCTATATTCAAATTTTGATAAACCCATACAGTTGTAATCAGTACTACCAACTCTAACAGTATACTGCCAGCCAACAATCCGGGAGCTATCAGCATTTGGATTGTAATAGGCAGCTCTATTTGACCTCAGACATCTAACCATAGGCAATGACCAGTTATCGTCACTTATACCATCTACCATCATTTGTGCTATTATTCTCATGGGTTCAGAAGCGGAATGATCTGTACATAAAGCTTGTGCAGAAATGTTAGACATTGGGATTACATAATAGCAGTGATGCAAGGCATGACAAACAAAACAACCATCACCTCCTAAGGTATGATTTTGTGCCCACAGAATGGCCTGAGCACAGACCATGTTGTGGTTACAAACATCCTCCATCATGCCTGCAAAAACTATTGTCAGGATGTTTATGGAAACTACAGATTTCATTCTTCTTTATTCCCTTTTTGTTATAAAAGTCTTTTATTTTGCAGCTTGTCGTCGTGGTAGCCATCTTCTCTTCCAGCATATAGGGGGAAAAAGTGTTGATGTCCAAACGGCTCACAAGGTAGTGTCAGGGGACCTAGACAGGCTTTGTTGTCAGTATTTCGACCACCAATCAGGAACCTGTCTCATGTCCTGTTTCTTCGTCCCTGTCTCAGATGTGCTCTGGGCATATCCTAAAACAAAACACATAGACATAGCAGCAGTATCATATTCTTAGTACACAACCATGTCTTATGCCCTTGTATAAAGGTTTGGTTTAGCCCTTGTAATGGATACCTTCTTTCCCTACCTAACCTGGGTCCTGGCCTCTGATGGGAGTAGGGGAGCGCTAGCCGCTAAGGGGAAGTAGGAAGATCTTCACTCCTGAGGTTGACCCCCATGACCTAAACATCATAGTTCCTCCTCAGAGCATCTCCCAACCAGAGTCACCCATTTTATCCCTAAATTAGCCATCAACATCAGGTGGTGGCTCCACCTTGGTATGGCTCACAAGTATCCATTTTGGGTTTCCTTGGCATTTTAGAGCAGAGGGTGTAGTAAGGAGGACCTGATATGGACCTTCCCACTTTGGCCCTAATGGCTGAGTGTTATGCACCTTAACCATTACCCACATACCTGCAATGATAGGATGACCCCCCCTTTGTGGGTTCTTTCCATGCATCCAACACTTGGTTCGGAGTGGCGGCAACAGCCTCAGATAATGTCTGGCAGTATTGCAGCAGACTATCAGACATAACATGTACGTCTGCCGCTCTTAAATCAATAGTTCCTGGAAGTGACATAGGACAACCAGTAATAATCTCATATGGTGACAGCTGGGTACTTCTGTTAGTTGAAGCTCTGATGCTGCAAAGTACAGCCAGTAAAGCTTCTATCCATGAAACCCCTTCATGATGTAACTTGGTCAGTCTGGACTTTAAAGTTCTGTTCATCCTTTCAACCTGACCTGATACTTGAGGTCGATAGGGACAGTGGAGATGCCACTTTATCTCCAACAACCTTGCTACTTCTTGACAAACCCTCCCAGTAAAGTGAGTTCCTTGATCACTCTCAATGACCCTTGGGAGACCCCACCTTGGGATAAAATCTTTCACCAGACATTTAGCGGTATGCAGTGCAGTAGTAGTGGCATATCCCTCAATCCACCTTGAGAACTTGCAAATTATTATCAAACAGTCCTGTTTTCCCTGGCATCTTGGCAAAGTGATGTAATCTACCTAATTCTTGAAATGGGCCACTCGGAGGTGTTACAGTTTGGTAGGGGAGGGAGACTGCAAGTCTTGGATTTGCCTTAAGACAGGTGGTGCAAGCTAGACAATGACTCTCCACATACTTGCGGAATTTAGGATTCCACCATACTTGGTTGAAGCGATGTACCATCTGGGTTACTCCAGGGTGACCTAGACTATGTATGGTAGCCACCAAATAGGGAAGCAGGGCATCAGGAGCCACATATTTACCCCCCTTAACCCAGATACCATCGCGAAGAGATGCACCTCGCTCAACCCAAGTCCAAACTTCCAAACCCAGGGCCTGCTGGTATAAAGCAAGTAGATCAGCCAAATTTTTAACAACAGGTTGTTCACAGGGTGACAGAATATATTCAATAGGCAAAAGGAACAGGCAAAAGGCAAAAGGAACAGTCATTCCAAGATGGCGCCGAGTATGGCTGCCGTGTTGCGAGCTCCCGCTTACTTTTGCAGTTTTTTGTTGTTTTTGTGTTTGTTTTTAACTCTTTTTGCACTAAATGTTACTGGTTTTATCACCTACAACTGACAAACACTTCTGGAAATCAGATCGTCGATCACTCACCGGAAACCGGACTTTGAGTTCCATAACGCCGATCCTTTGTTTGCTAACACTGGAGAGGCGCCACTCATCTGGGCCGCCCGGCCACGCACCCGTCGAAGACGCCGGAAAAGAGGCAAGAGAGCCGGCGTGCTCGTCAGACTCAGACGACGTGCCCATCGGCCGCCTCTTCCCACCATATTACTGGCTAACGTGCAGTCCTTGGAAAACAAGTTGTGTGAGCTTCATGCACGGGTCGCCTTCCAGCGAGAGATCCGGGACTGCAGTGTTATCTGCCTCACAGAAACGTGGTTATCCGATAAGGTCCCTGATAATGCCATCGAACCCGCCGGGTTCTCTCTGCACCGCGCCGATAGAACCAAGCAGCTCTCCGGGAAAAGCAAAGGAGGAGGTGTATGTTTTCTGATCAATAACGCTTGGTGTGATCGGAGGAATGTACATTTCATCGAGTCTTTCTGCTCGCCGGATTTGGAATTTCTCACCGTGTTTTGCCGGCCGGCGTGGCTGCCCCGTGAGATAATGGGACTCTGTCTGGCCGCGGTGTACACCCCCCCGCAGGCGGACTCGGACCTCGCGCTCGGGAAGCTACACGAGGCTATCAGCAAGCAGATGACCGCGCGCCTGGAGGCTGCACTTATTGTTGCGGGGGACTTTAATCGGAATAACCTGCGAACCTACTGTCCGACATTATTCCAGCACGTAACGTGTTTCACTCGGAAAGACAGGATTTTAGACCATGTTTACTCCAGCATCCGGAACTGTTACAAATCCCTCCCCCGACCCCCGTTCGGCAAATCAGATCACTCCTCCATCCTGCTCCTGCCCACCTATAGGCAGAAGCTGAAACGGGGGCCGGTCACTACCAGGGAGGTGCGCCGCTGGTCTGACCAATCAGATGCTATGCTGCAGGATTGTTTTGATCATGTGGACTGGGAAATGTTCCGTGATTCGTCGGGCAGCGTGGACGAGTACGCAGACACAGTCACCGCCTTCATACGCAAGTGTGTGGATGACGTAGTGCCCTGCAGACAAGTCCGCGTTTACCCCAATCAGAAGCCCTGGCAGAACTGTGAGGTTCGCTCCGCCCTCACGCAGCGCTGCATTCAGAGCGGGAAATACGGAGGAGTACAAGCAATCCAACTACGCTCTCCGTAAATCCATCAGAGCAGCTAAACATGCGTACAGAATGAAAGTGGAAGCACAGTTCAACACAGCCAACACACGAAGCTTATGGCAGGGGTTAAATACAATCTCTGACTATAAAACTGCCTCTCGCACTCTGCCCAGTACCAGCGCTGATCTGCCGGATGAGCTTAATAACTTCTACGCTCGCTTCGACGGAATTCCCGCAGCACCACTGGAGAGCGCCCCGCCCACCGCTGATCCCAACCCCCCCTCCGTCTCCGTAGCTGATGTGTGCAAAGCCTTCAAGAGGGTGAACCCACGCAAGTCAGCAGGACCAGATGGCATTCCCGGGAGAGTGCTTAAAGCCTGCTACAGGGAACTAGCAGGAGTTTTTGCAGACATCTATAACACCTCACTGTCTCTCTCGGTCGTGCCAGCTAGTTTCAAACTAGCCACCATTGTGCCAGTTCCAAAGACAGCTAGTATTACCTGTCTGAACGACTGGCGACCTGTTGCCCTGACCTCCATCGTAAGCAAATGCTTTGAGAGGCTGGTCAGGGATATCATCTGTTCCTCACTGCCTGCCACCCTGGACCCACTGCAATTTGCATATAGGCGAAATAGATCCACCGACGATGCAATCGCCCTGACCCTGCACACTGCCCTCTCCCACCTGGAAAAGAAGGACACGTATGTGAGAATGCTGTTTGTAGACTACAGTTCAGCATTCAACACAATCGTTCCTTCGAGGCTCGACTGCAAGCTCCGGGATCTGGGTCTGAACAGCACACTGTGCAGCTGGATCCTGAACTTCCTGACGGACCGACGGCAGGTGGTAAGGATGGGAAGTATCACATCCTCCTCTTTGACCCTCAACATCGGAGCCCCCCAGGGTTGTGTGCTCAGCCCGCTCCTGTACTCCCTGTACACCCATGACTGCACTGCTAGACACAGCTCCAACGTCATCATAAAGTTTGCTGACGACACAACAGTTGTGGGCCTGATCTCCAACAGCGATGAATCGGCCTACAGAGAGGAGGTTAAAATCCTGGAAAACTGGTGCCAGGAGAATAACCTCTCTCTAAACGTCAGTAAGACCAAGGATTTCCATCAATGGGACTGCGGTAGAGAGGGTCAGCAGCTTTAAGTTTCTCGGTGTTCACATCAGCGAGGACCTGACATGGGCAGTGCACACCTCACAGGTGGTGAAGAAGGCCCACCAGCGCCTCTACTTCCTCAGAAGGCTGAGGAGGTTTGGCCTGAACCCCAGCATCCTTAAGACCTTCTACACCTGCACTGTGGAAAGCATCCTGACGGGCAGCATCACCACCTGGTACGGGAACTGTACTGTTCGTGAGAGGAAATCTCTGCAGAGGGTGGTGCGGACAGCACAGTCCATCACCGGGGTTCAGCTCCCTAACCTATTGGATTTATACACCAGTCGCTGCCTGAGGAAATCCAGAAGGATTATGAAGGACCCCTCCCATCCTAGTCACTGTCTGTTCTCTCAGCTGCCGAGTGGTAGGAGGCTCAGAAGCTTAAAAGCCAGAACCAGTCGGCTCAAAGACAGCTTCGTTCCCCATGCAACCAGGCTATTGAACAGCCAGTAATCACTGCTCTGCCCAGCCCAACCCTTCCCATTACACGTACGTGCACCCACTGTACTCCCGCACTTTACTTGCATAGCTGGACTTTGAATACCTATCCAAAGACAATACTCTCCCCCTGCGCTTCCACTTAACTTCCTGTACCTTGCACTTTACTAAATACTCTGCCACCTACTGTACCATCTTCTACCTCCACACCTAGTGTGATTATTTGCACATCCACATAGCATTGTAATATCCATTACTATATATAGTATATAGTTGATTACACCCACCCTACATTCCCAGTGCAATATTATATGTCTCGGTGCAATATTATTATTTTTAAGTTATTGTGTAAGATTATATGTATATATTTTAGTTAAATTGGTTTTATCTATTCTTCTATCCTATCTATAGTTTTGTTTATCTATGTGTAAATACTGTTCTCTGCATAATTTGTGGAACTCGCACTCAAGTTTTTCACTCACCTGTGTCCCTGTACTCTTGTGATGTGACAATAAATCTGATTTGATTTGATTTGATTTGAAGACAAGCCCTTTTTGCTGCATTATCAGCTAAACAGTTGCCTTGGTGTTCAGAAGATGTGGCAGAAGAATGGGCTTTTATTTTAATAATAGCAACCTGTTTTGGAAGTGTGAGCGCTTCCATTAGGTCTGCCACATGCTCAGCATTTTTCACTGGGGTTCCATTTGCTGTCAAAAAATGTCTCTGCTTCCATAACAAGCCAAAATCATGGCATATGCCATGGACATACTTTGAATCGACAAATACATTTGCTTTTAAATCTTTAGCAAGCACACAGGCACAAGTTAGTGCTACCAGTTCTGCCTGTTGTACGGAATAATGATCCGGCAATCTGCCAATATCTATTTCTTCATACTGTGTTGTGACAGCCCACCCTGTGCGTCACCCCTCATCAAGGATGCGGGAAGAGCCGTCTGTGAATAACACAACATCATCGTTTGGCAAAGGTGTTTCAGCATACATGCTTTGCACCACACTAGACACCAGAGTTTCACAGTCATGATCATCTGAGACCAAATGATCTGAAATAGCATTCACAGGTGCCCTTTTGATCACTATATTAGGGGCAGTTAAAACTGCAAGCCAGTTACCCCACCTTTGTGCTGTCACTGAAACAATCCTGCCATGAGTTACAAGGGGTAGTGGTTGAAATCTTGCCCTATGAAATGGGACAACCCTCAAATAAAAAAATAAAAAAAAACACTGCTTCATTAACAGCTACTAGCGCTGCTCTGTAGGCAACCCAGCCCGACTTCACTTATAGGAGAGAAGGGAGAAGTTCAGCTCCTCACTGCTGGGCTTTAATTACATTTAGGGCATCATATGCTTTCAAAGAAGGGGACATGACAATTATTTATTATCGCCCACCGCTAATTCTTTGGTGATACGAAGCTGAAGTCAGCTATTCACCAGCTTCTTGTTTGTATTTTCCCATTCCACCTTAAATGGTGCAGCAGTTACATTCTGGCGCTTCAGGTGTCAATATCGCTGGTCTATTTAAGGTGGAACGGGCAAGTTATCTAGCTAGCTACTGAGACGTTAGCATGTTATTAGCTTTTTTTATGCTTGTTATGAAGAAAACGAACATAATACATTGAAACGGCATTAAATTGAGAATACAATGGTTATCGTCATTTTTTTTACGGAGAAAATTCTCATATTTGTGGGTTTCTTTGGTCTCTTGTTCAGCCATCTTGCCGGTTTTTCTTTTTTTCACATAACACTCTGTTTGGAGTGAGCCTCTGGAAAACCTCCGTTTGGAGGGCCATGTAGCCCTAAAACTACCCCTCTATCTCAACAAAAATTGGGACACACTAACCCTACACGTGAACGCGCAAGGCGAGAGCTAAGGGCTAAGTGGTAGGGGCAAGGGGTGAAATGGGATTGGGCCTAAGAGTTTACATGCACTGAGAAATCTGATTACTGAGCTAAAATCCAGCCTCTTTATCAGATTTCTTAATCAGATTTCTAGACCTTACTCCGATCTAAGAAATCAGAGTGTGCTGTTTACATGACCATTTGAATAATCAGATAACTGCAAAAATCTGATTATGATTGGATTACTGAGTGCATGTAAACATACTCACTGACATACCGTAACCATCTCCACAGAGTTTAAATGCTTTATTGCTGTGTTGTGTAAGGATATCTGTGTACTATTGCCCAATTACTGTCTTTAGCTTAACAGCAGCTAATAGTCAGGTTAATGTATTGCAATAAGAAGGCGTGCTGTATGCAAACGTGAGAGACTGACACAAAAAGATAAACGTACACTGAATCTATACTTTCAACTGATCATTTATCTCTGTCTTTTCATTTATTTCTCTAACAGCTCCTCTTATCCTGATTGGTGCCATTGTGGCTGCTCTGTTGTCAGGATGACCTTTGGCCTGTTAAGCTGATGGAGGATGTGTACTGATGTAAGCATTTACATGAATTAAAATCTGGTTTTGGGTAGGTGACAGCAAACTTAGGCAATGTGCACTGCAGCACTGAAGCAATATCCATCCAATATGGTATCACTTTCAGGACTTTATCTTTATACTTAGCTGCTGTTATTGTTATTAAACTATATCAACCTTCCAGTGCTAATATATTTTTTTATTTTCCTTCATTGCCAATAACAGCTTTGTGTTGACACTGCAGCAAATGCTGTTCAGCGCTATGCATTAATCTATAGGTCAGTGATATATATGGTAAAAATGTATTATCACACTACTTGAATAGGTTTTCACAGTATGCATGTTTTTTCTTTTCTGTTAGCTTGATAAATCGGAATAGAGAGGAGGCACCAGTAGGGGCACATTTAGAAAATGCTATAAAACCAGATGAATACAATGATGCCTCTTTAAAGTGTGTGTAAAGGAAATTCAGAGATTTGTTTCTAAACACTTTATACATTTCAAAAATATTAGCTGAGAACATGTGAAAAGATTGAACTATGTAGTACTGAATTGTAGAGTTAGACTATAAAACTGTTTATCATTTTTATGTTCAGGATTTTTTGGCCATGGCTTAATGATGCACTGGAGTCATACTTAGCATGACCTATCACTATGGAGACAGATGTTGCAAAAGGAAAGAACTCTAACTATGAAGAGGTGGATGAGTTTAGGTGATCTGAATGCTTCTCCTGCAGATCAGGAGATTATCTCTGATTTCTCTGTTTTCTCTTTTTGAGCAAAGCGCTCTGTGTGGATCTCGCAGTCTTTCTCCAACAGTCTTGAACTATCGCTCAGGTGGGAAGAAAGTCACTATGATCGCTATTACAGAGCACTAAGAGCACCAGGACGGAAACTAGAACAGCACCATTGATATTTTACAATTAGCACTTTGTAAACACAAACGTGTGGTAGGAAGCTGATGCTAACATTATTAGCATGTGTGCTAGCAGTTAGAGTGTGTTTTTGTTAGCACACATTAATGTCGAAAACATTAACAGTTAAGCCCTCCTGAGGTTTGTAAACGGAGCTCTGAGCTGATCTGGTCTTGCTGAAGACTCATTGTTTCTGTTTTGTTCTTGTACCTTGCAATTTTAATTTGAAATACACTCTTTTAACCACGAGACAGTCCTGACTGACTGGCCTTATCAGTCGACAACCAGAAGCAGCAGATGGATGGAATAAGACAATGCACTCAGTAAAGGTTTAGAGTATTAACTTTAATAACTGAAACAGGTGCAGGCATATATATGTTGACCAAGTGAATTTGTATAAACGTAAAAGGCTTTCAAATCCTTTGACCTCAGTTTGTTTTTATGAAGTTACACAGCTTTACTGTATTCCATACTTGTGTGTCCAACAGAGGACACACCTTTAGATCCCATTAGGAAACAGCCAAATGCATTTAGAATCAGCCACGTGTTAAAGCAGTTCGGCAGAGACTACCAGCACACATTTTTCAAATTTGGTCTTCATCTGCTTTGAGTCATGAGAAGATGCATGTTTTTTGCATGTGTTTTGGAATCTTCAAGACAAACCGCAAAAAGAAGGGTTGCTGAGCGTGAAGCTTGGTGGCTGAGTGGGAAGGGATTGGTCTCAGATGTGGCAGGTTGTGGGTTCAACTCTGGGGCCTGCCTGGTGGGAGTGGACGGGTGAAGGGAAACAAAACACACCATCTTAACAAAAAGTCAATGAGTAGTTTTACATCCTTGTGCCCAAAAGCAGGGCACTGTTCATGTTCATATGGTGTACTTGAAAAACACTGTGAAGACTTTCATCTGTGTTTTTTGGGTAAGACTGACATATATTTTAATGAGTCAGTTAATGAAAAAATAATGTGTTATTGAATGTCCTGGTAACCTGAAATCTTCTCTGGCGATTTTTAAACTGTTTTGAGGGCCACCAGCAGATGGCACAGTTCTACACTGTCCCTCCTCATCACCAGCAGATGGCGCAGTTCTACACTGTCGCTCCTCATCACCCAGCAGATGGCTCAGTTCTGCACTGTTCCTCCTCATCACCAGCAGATGGCGCAGTTCTGCACCGTCCCTCCTCATCACCAGCAGATGGCGCAGTTCTGCACTGTCCCTCCTCATCACCAGCAGATGGCGCAGTTCTACACTGTCGCTCCTCATCACCCAGCAGATGGCTCAGTTCTGCACTGTTCCTCCTCATCACCAGCAGATGGCGCAGTTCTGCACCGTCCCTCCTCATCACCAGCAGATGGCGCAGTTCTGCACTGTCCCTCCTCATCACCAGCAGATGGCGCAGTTCTACACTGTCCCTCCTCATCACCAGCAGCAGGTGAAGTTCATTACTAATTAAAGGCTTTTAGATTTAAGAGACGCTGCTGAGTTTAATCCATAAGATCTTCTCAAGCTGAAATGAACTCAGCTTAGTTTACGCAGCCCTCAGGTGGAGCTGTGACTGTGTTCTAGTTTGGAGGACTGAACTCTTCTTTATCTAGAACAAGAACTCAAAAACCACAGCTCTTAAAAAGAAGTTTGTGGTTAACTAAACTCCCCAAAGAGAAATGCGGACAAGTTTAGGTGATCTGAATGTTTCGATCGCAGATCAGGAGTTTGTCCGATTTCTCTGTTCTCTCTTTTTGAGCAAAGCGCTCTGTGTGGATCTTGCAGTCTCTCTCCAACAGTCTTAAACTATCACTCAGGTGAGAAGAAAGTCACTATAGTCACTATAACTGAGCACTAAGAGCACCAGGACAGAAACTAGAACAGCACCATTGATATTTTTACAATTAGCACTTTGTAAGCGCAGGAAGCTGATGCTAACATTATTGGCATGTGTGCTAGCAGTTAGAGAGTGTTCTTGCTAAGATTCTCCTCATCGAAAACATTGACAGTTAAGCCCTCCTGAGGTTTGTAAACGGAGCTCTGAGCTCATCTGGTCTTGCTGAAGACTCACTGCTTCTGTTTTGTTCTTGTACCTTTACATTTTCACACTGTTTACTAAAACAACAGCATCATTTCAGTTCATAATAATGTCTGATCAGGCTACCTGACTTTGGAGCGGTTCTTCTTCCTTCTTCCTCTTAAAAATATAACAGCGGTGTTAAAATGTTTTATGTTGTTCTGTGTTTAGAAAATGAATTCTTTCATATTCAAAATGTTTAAGCATTTATAAACTTTGAACGCCCTCTAGCGTTTGAGAAACACGGAAAACATTACAGGGTGTAACTCTCCCCTCTACAAGTTCTTTGCTGCCCTGTGCTACTTGACGAATGACCTGCCGTCCATAACTGGTAACGAGCAGCACCTGACGTCCCTCTCAAAGCAGGCACGGACCAACAGCTCCTGTGAGGAAAGCAGTAGCGCCAGAGGGCGATTTTAATTTGTTAAAGCAGTTTGGCACAGACTACCAGCACACATTTCTCAAGCTTGGTCTTCATCTGCTTTGAGTCATGAGAAGATGCATGTTTTTTGCGTGTGTCTTGGAATCTTCAAGACAAACCCCCCAAAAAAGGGTTGCTGAGTAGGAAGGGATTGGTCTCAGATGTGGCAGGTTGTGGGTTCAACTCTGGTGCCTGCCTGGGGGTAGTCGATGGGTGAAGTCAATGAGTAGTTTTACATTCTTGTGGCTAAAAGCAGAGCACTGTGCATGTTCATATGGTGTACTTAAAAAACACTGTGAAGACTTTCATCTGTGTTTATTTGGGTAAGAATGTTATATTGCAGTACAAAATACAAGGAACCTCTAGATTACAGATACCATGGTGCTTCAGAAGTGTTTACCATCAATGTGAAGCTTGGTACTAAAATGCTTAAAAACTGTTAAACAGCAAAGGCACATTTGTGTAACATGGTCTAGGGTTTAACCTTTATGACTGTTACAGGGTGTGCCCTGAAAAAACTACTCCAAGGCTAAGAACACTTTTGTGTCTCTGACGTTGAACGAAACAGGAAGAAATCAGCATGTCTAAAAGTAACTACGGCAAACTAAATCCCCTGTTTGATTGATCGATCGATCAAACTTGGTTCGGTGGCCTAGGATTCTCATTCATGGTGACTAAAAAATTTGCAGAATTACCATATTACCATGCCAAGAAATGGCTAGAGGTTACCATCAACTTGAGAGCTAGTCCTGAATTAGCTGCTGTTTATGAGAAGAAGCTTGGCCTTTATAATGTGATACAAAGCAAAAAAAAATATTTATAGCTAAAGAAGCATTTGTCAAAAGACACTACAAAAAAAAACAAACACAGAGATGCACAGGATATTGTAGAAGATAATTACCCATTAAAAATTTCTAACCACAGTGTCAAACAGAGAATTAGCTGCCCTGTTGGTCAATCTTACCTTCGAGCTCCAGGCTTCTTCTTTGTGGTAACTCAAGAAATTAGCATATTAACATGTGTGAAAATCAATAAAAGTTACCATCAATTTACCAACTAGTCTTGAAGTAGTTATTGTTCATAGTGATTTTTGCTTGTGTAAATTGGGACTGCTCATGTTGCATTATTTCCATTGCGGTGGGTTGAACCAAACAAAAGCAGATGAGCAAACGTAGTAGCCCAAATTTGCTCTACCGATGCCACGGCCTTGCCTGTGGCTTATGGGGGAACGCCTGCGCGGCGGACACCGCCACGGCTCTCCTCCGGCCATCGGGGGCACGCCTATTGCCGCACCTCCGAGTCGTCGTCGCGATGATCTCCACGGACAATCCACACCTCTTCCACACACGGCTTTTCTATACCGTATTCCGTACTTGCGTTTACCTAGGCTCATTTTTCTGAAATAAAACTTGTGGTTTGACTGGTTTCCAACAGAGAGCACACGTCTAGATCCCGTTAGAAAACCATGGGATGCATTTGCAATCAGCCACCTGTTAAAGCGTTAGGAACACCTCGGTTCAGCACAGACTACCAGCACACATTTCTCAAACTTGGTCTTCATCTGCTTTGAGTCATGAGAAGATGCATTTTTTGTGTGTGTCTTGGAATCCTTAAGACAAACCCCCAAAAAAAAGGCTGCTGTGTGTGAAACTTGGTGGCTTAGTGGGAAAAAGCCTTGGCCTCAGATGTGGGAGGTTGTGGGTTCAAGCCAAGGAGAAGGAGGAGAGAAAGGGGGAGGGGGAAAAGAGTAAAAGTATAAAAGTGCAAGCAAGCAGGTGAATGAAATGGGCAACATTTTAGTTAGCTTGCCAAGTAAAATGAGGGTCCAAGTAGGTAGAATTTTTGCATACCCAAAGGGTTAAGTGCAACTTTTTTTTTCCAGCAAAATTCTGCATAACCCCCTCTTGTCCTCTCTCCTGGGCCCCAGGGGGGGAGACGGGTATACCTTCCCCCCTGGTTCTTGGGTTGCGCCCTCCGGCCTTCCTCGCACGTCATGCATCATGCACCCTTCACCCTGTGTGTGTGTGTGTGTTTCACCACCACCGTGATGTGAGGATCCTGCTCGGGATACGAACCGATAACCTCCAGACTGTAGAGGCAGGGCATCTACCAGTGAGCCACAGGATCTCACAAATGTCCTCTTTTTTTTTAAACATTTGTCTTTGTTTTTGCCATCTTTACTGATGAAGACATGCAAATGAAGGCCCTAAAGTGGGGCTTGAACCAACAACCTTCTGGTTGAAGAAACATGATTTATACCAGCAAGCCACATGGCCTGCAGGGAGCTGTCTTTTTTTTTAACATTTGTCTTTGTTTTTGCCATCTGTACTGATGAAGACATGCAAAAGTAAGGCTTGAACCAACAACCTTCTGGTTGTAGAAACATCATTTATACCAGCAAGCCACAGGCCCTACAGGGACGCTCCTTTGTTTTTTTTTTTGGACATTTGTCTTTGAGATTCCCAGGTTGTGCCTCTACCCATGTTT